CTATAAATTACCTGACAAGCATGCATGGATCTACAGTCCTGGAACGAATGATGATGAAAAATGTCGAGCAAAAATAAATTAATTAAATATTATAAAAAGATAAGTGAGATATAGGCTACTTCTACCTCTTCAGACGTGTCAAATAACTGAAGAATTGTTGCTTTGTGCAGGGTTGCTGCACCTTACACACAACCATCCTTTAATGAATTTAGCAATCCAGTTAAATACATCAGCAATTAACAGGTGAAATATAATCAGCGCATCAATCAAATTAAGCATTTGAACAAAAAGAGCAAAAACTAGGAGCTTCAAAATTGTGTCAAGTTACAAAATAAAGCATATGCAAGAAAAGAGCTCCCTTACTGTATTCTTCAGGGCAACTAGCTATCTAACACATGGGATTGCTCAGCAGTAGGATAATAATTTGGGAAACTGTGATACTGGCTTAGATCATGTTGGGTTAAATAAACCTCTTTCTCAACAAATGGGCTCCCATGTGGTGTCTCTTGACCCTTCTAATTGGCATAACTAGTCAATTATTTCAACAATGTCTGGTGTTACTTTCATGGTCCTTCAACACATTAAAACTAGTGGCAGCTTTGTCTTTAGAAGAGTCTTCATGGTTGCAACAAAAAGATTTAAAAAGTAGCTTTAATATGGTGAAGAACACAGTCCCTCTAAACTATTCTTTGAAGTCAAATCAGAGAAAATATAATTCTATTTCTTGAAAGAGAACAAATCTGAGGGGCTCTGAAGTGCGAACGTATTGACTGTATACACCTCAGTAAATAACATATTGAACTGCATGACTGGAAACCACCAGTAGGGTAGAAAGAAAGGTAGAAAGAAGGCCAACATACATAATAGATAGTAATCTTACTGTAAAAGCAGAAGTTCTATGCAACAGGCAAGTAGAAGAAATATACTACAAGTATACAGAACACTAATTAGAAGTTTGCTAGAAAGTATCACTTTGTTTGGGAAAGAATGCAGTATCACTGAAGACAGAAGACAAGCGGTAAAATGGAAGAAATCAGGGTATTTAAATATTTTTAATCAGGAAATTGGCTGGCATGATTTCATCAATACTCTCTGGATAAAACTAAGAGTTTACATGATCTACACTGATAAAAGAAAAACTAGATGGTTTTCCGAGGTATTCTTGTTGCTTGTTTTTTTTCTCCTTTCAAATTACTGAAGCAAGCTTTAAAAGGTTAGAAGCAAATATTGATGTACTCTCTGTGAATGTCACCCACCCATACATAAACTTTACTTCTCAGTGTGTAAGGTAACTCCTAACTCCTTTGTATCTTGTCATGAAACATTACTGTCCTAATATTCGTGATTGCTGAATTAAATAGTCATGGTCAGTGTCTGAGTAATGTATACATATCTGTTGAAATAGCTATAACGGGCTTTTTCATTTACCTACTATTGCCTTAAAAACATCTGAAAGGTGATATTGGTGTTAAAAACAAAGTTTAAAGTTTCATAATTGGCTGAAAATCAATACTTGATTTTTCCCCCACTGGAGCACAAGAGTTCATTATTGAAAGCATAACAGATAGTAAGGATGACTTCTTTAGTAAAGAGCAGTAAAGTGACAAATTGAAGGGCTGTTCAAACGTATCACCTTCAGGGAGGCTAACAGCCAAATGAAACTGCATGCTGGTGAGGTGGATGCAAATGGTGTTTTATCCTGCCACCAGGGACATGGGATCCAAATGATAATTCTTGGACTCAATTCTATGTCAAAGTATTAGTATGTCAATAAATTTATTGTAGTTTTAGTTTCCATTGTTGCACTACTATGACATCTTTGTTTAGAGTATTAAGATAGCAGAGATGAAATGGTCCAGTTCCCAAAGGAAAAAAAAAATAGGAAAATGACTACAAGGAAAAGGACAAAGTTATTACAGTCTTGCATATATGTATATATACAATATATATTATATATATATATGTATATATACATATACACATACATTATTATGATCATGTCAGTTTAAATTTCAAATTTTTGATGAGCCTTTTACATGTTATCCATAAAAATCAAACTCAAAACAGTACTGAAAACTACCAGTAAATCAGTGAATTTTGCAGTAATAACTATCAAATCTGTGGTGCACTGTAATACCTTGCATGCAGGGAACCTGAAGAGTACAGCACATACGTAAGTTTATTTTTAAGCAAGAAATGTAGATATGTTGGTTTATAGGATAAGTAGCATGGTTTAGGAGACAAGGCTTCCCTGGACATCTCTGCCTGCCAGGGTGTTAGGTAAGACATTTAAACTTTGCAACTTCATATGCTTTCCCACCTTTCATCTGGCTTGTCTGTTTGGATAACAGGTCATAGGAGACAAGGCTCTCTAGTATAACTCCTGCATAAAGAGAAGCTCAAGGGTGATTCGTTATATTACTCTGACACTGCTATTTATGAAACAACACTGCACATGGCCAAAATACAGCTTAGGATGATTATGAAAAGACAGTCAGGGAACCCTCTCCTCTGTCAAAAGAGCACTTGCTCATGCTATCATGTCTGCACACGTAGTGCATTTTAACCACATCAGTGTGTGGTTAATACTGCCCATACATATGTCCTATCACTGTGGTGTAACTGTATACCCGCAAATAAAAGCCTATGTGAAATCAGAGTATGGATAGCACCTTTGATTATCACTCAGGTTGCCACTGAGTAAGATGACAAATACATCTGCCTTTTGTATTTTTCTCGCATAAAATTTAATCCCTACATATTAATAGGTAATTTAGTACCTATCTTCATGACAGCATAATCACAATTTTTTGCTATGTGCACTGATCTGCATTTTTCATTCCATCATGTAGTTTTCTGCTATAAAATACTCCTAAATTTTTGGTGGTCTGCTTCTGTTTCAGCTGTTCAGACTGCTTCTGTACTATCAGCACTCTTTCAGCTCAGTCTCCACAAAACCTTTTCAAAATGGTTTCTGAAGATGTTGAACAGAGCTTTCAGCATAGAACCCCATGGGAGGTCTCTGAGTTCTCTCAGTTCTTAAAAAAAAAAAAAAAGATTATTCTTGTCCTTTAACTTCTCAGATTTAATTTAGAGCCTGGATTCTAAAAAATATTTGTCAAAAACTGTCTCCAAAAGTTTTTAAGTCTGAAAATACACATACATTGACCTGATCATCCTTATCCATTTACTTATTATCTTTACCGAATAATTCAGAAGATTCAACTCATGTAACATTTTTTAACAAAAAGAACTCAATTCTCCCCCAGTATCACGTTATTATCTTTGTAATAACTTCAATCCATTTCCTTCATATGGAAATCAGATGTACTGGTCTATTCCTGCCAAATTCAGTCAAGAAGCTCTTTTAAAATATTTGGTTATACTCCCATCTTCCATTCCTCTGATTCCAGGATTACACATCACATAGTTCATCAATTCTGTATTTTAGTTCCTTCAAAGCTCCTGGGCATCTGCCCACAGTCCCATCTTCTAATTTTTTTATTTGCCCCTAAAACTTTTTCGAACATTTCACATTCAAAAATGAGCCCACAGATATATCATCTCTTCTAGACACACTTATGCAATGCTTGATTTGTTATCAACATTCCTTCAATACACATCAAGTTTTCCATACACTAAAGAGAACTGAAAAATCATGAAAAAAATTAAGCCATACTTTCTCATGTTAGCTAAGTATGAGGGAAAAATCTCTGAAAGCTGAAAAATAGATCTACACAGGCAGCTGTCTCATCACTTAGTTTACCATGTTCACCTGATGAAAGGACTACTTGCAGTGTTCCTTCTACATGCCTTAATTATGTGACTGGCAATTTTATTCTTGGACTCCAAATGATCCACAGGTTTTATTTCCAAATAGGTGTTTTCATATACTGCAGAGTAGTAGGTGACATTTGATTGTAAAAGGAAAATATTCACACTAAGGTTTGATGGCATAAGAATTAATAATTGACAGTCCAACTTTCTACCTTATCACAGAATCATAGAATCACAGAATGGCCAGGGTTGGAAGGGACCTCAAGGATCATGAATCTCCAACCCCCCTACCACATGCAGGGCCACCAACCTCCACATTTAATGCTAAACCATATAGGCAAGATGATTTTATAGGTGAAGTAAACTCTAACTTTTTGCATAAATGGATTTTTTGCATTAAAGGAAGAAGGCTTTTTACCAAGGTTCAAATGTCTTCAAGAGTAAGAACTATTTTCTGAGATTACATACTACATACTAGGAGTTTTCTGTGATGTGTTCTTGTAGAAAAAAATCTGGGGCCAATCTATTTTACTTCACAGCTGTGAATCTCTTCAGAACTGTACATGAAATAAACTATTTGCAGTAGTTCTTGTCAAGAAACCACTCTTTTTCTTACAGTTAGACATTTAGGGTTGACAGAAAATGAATATTCTTCTAAACACCTTATTATAAATCAGAACAGACTCTTAACCTTAATAATAGCAACAATGATAACAAACAATAGCGTTGTTAGTAATAGAATATATTTCTAAATGTCAGTAATGGTATTTTTAAACAAAAAAAAGGCTAGCAATGTACTGTAAATGTGTGCTCTGAGGAACATTAGCGTGCAGCTGCCAGACAATCTTAATGAAGGATTTCATTGTTCAATTATGAAATCATTGTGTTTGATATGATTATACACATACACTCCAGATCTGATGCAGATCACTCACACCTAGCTGTAGAGCAGCTTCTATAGTGCCATTCTTCCCTAATTAAGATGAAAGCATGGTTAGGGTAGAATAGAAAGCATTGATTTCTATACTTTTCCAGACCATGCAGTTACGTAATGACACACCATTGGTCCATTTTCAAATAAACAAGAACACAATATCACTGACAGAATCGTCCTTTGGATGCACCTGTTTTTTTAGTGTTTGATTCTATATATTATCTCCCGATGTTCCAAATATTTGTCCTCTCATGGAAAATTTGAACTTATACATGAACAGTCCTCCTACCTTTAGCAGGTAAGCTTGGCAGTCACTGGCGTAATCGTACTCCAGGCCATCAAAGGTATAATAATGTCGATCTCCATAAATAGTGCATACAGCAGGACAGGGGTAACTAGTGCAATTGAATATCCCTCTCCGACAAACACTGTAAAGAAAAGCAGCAATCAGTATCTTCTTTTTCTTTTTTAGGCCTTGAGGTGCAGAGCTATGCTGTGGATTGCCTTTGAAGTTCTTATTGACAGTGGCAGAAAAGTGTTGCATTTTGTCAGCAGCATATAGATACAGCTTCTATTCACAATCAACCATTATGAATGGAACATATTCATTAAAAAAAATGTATTTTTTCTTAAGAAATATTGATGATTTTTCTGAGATGTAAACTACATACATTCAGTGCAGAAGACATCCAGTTGTTACCTGTAAGATTTCAGTGTATTAGACTAATGGAACAGGCTTAAGAAGTAAATGTTCATACTTGGATGGATTACTTCCCCTACCAGCTATATTCAGTGAGCAGCACAAATTTGTTCCAAGGTAGGAGTCCTAAAAATACCGACAGCCTTTAGTTGTGCATATATAAATCTATAAGCTCAATCAATTTGCCAATGATGTTTAAAAACCGTTAGGCCAAACTTTCTTTTTTTTAATAATTCTATATTTACTGAAGATAGATAAAGATAGATATTTTGGCTAGTAAATTATAAGGGATGAAAAACTCTTTTGTGTTAACGTGAGTCAGGTTCTTCAGAAAAGATGCCAGGAACTATCCCATTTTCTGATATTAATGTTGGTTTTTTATTTCCTTTCTCTTTTTTTATTGTCCACCTCCTTTCCTTATGGTCCCACATACTGAATGTTAAACTCACACTGCAAGCTATCCAGATCCCAAGAAGGAGACAGTTTATCATTGTTATATATTTAATTTCCCTTTTTTGTCCCTGGTTCTCTTTCCTGGTATTCTATTGCCAAAGAAGTGTGCAATCAAACATTTGATCTTGATGACTTTTTAACTGAAGTTACAAAAAAAAAAAAAAAAAGTAACTGAAAAACTGAAGTTATCTGCTGCTTCCTTTTCAGTCAAGAAGCTTTCATACAAAAGTTTTTCTACTTTTTCAAGACTTTGAGCTTAATAAAAGATATTTCCTCCAACTGTCTTTAACAAGCATAAACATTTTTTTATTTTCAACATACTCAACACATTTTCTATGTCATTTTCACTGTGTGATTAGACAAGTGTGCAAAATACATGCCACTCACCAGGTGTAACAAGGCGTAGCTATCACTTCTCCTGATAGAAATTCCCTATCTTTCCAGGTGCATGGACAACTGTCAGGAATATAACACTTCCCTCTATGCTCAGCCATCCTTTAAAATAAAAGGATTACTAAGATAAAAATGTAAGTTCACAAGTACATCAACACAGCTCAATGAAAAACAATAGTTTTTCTATGACATCTTGTAAACATTAATGTATTTCTGTGTTAAAATATAATTATTTTATAACTCTAATGCTCTCTAAAGCTAACTCCTATTTGAGGCAGAAGCAAAGGAGTAGGAAGAATAGCTAGAAAATCACAGAATCACAAAGTGATTGAGGTAGCAAGAGGTCTCTGGAAATTATCTGATCCAAACCCTCTTCTCAGGCGCAGGCACCTAAAGTTTGTTGCCTGGGACCAAATCCAGCCAGCTTCTGAAGATTTCCAAAGAGGGAGACTTAAATAGCTATGCTTGAAATCTGTTCATCACTAGAGCTTAGTCATCTGCAAACATTACAAGTTTCTGGAAGGGGATTTCTAACTGTCTCATTACACTGTGATCTGTGCACAATCAATGTATTGTCAGGGGACCATCAACTACCATTCAGTGAAACAAAATTAAATACTGATTAAAAATGGTTACCACCCCACTTAAGATCATATTGCAGCAATTCGCACAGCACATTTGGCTCTTCAAATCTGAAAGTGCACACAGTAGGTATGGGGGGGAAAAGGAAAATTTGAGCGATAGCAGAAGTTCTTAACTATCTTACTTTGATTTGACACCTGCAGAGCTCAGTAGACTGTTTCTGAGCGACAAATCCAAATATGTGAGTGGAGAGAACAGAAACTTCAGCTAAGTTCAAAAGAGCAAAGAGATTATGAAGGGGAGGAGAGTAGGATCTGTCTTACCCCTCCCCTTTTCCCTGCCTCATCAATACCGTAAGCCTGACTAAGAATCTAGGTGAGACAATTACTTGCACAGTAAGCAGGAACACGGATGGTTTACTTCATGGTTTTATGTCATGTTTGTTTCTATGTTCACATATAGTGTGCAAGTGCTAGGGATCATCTCCTGTCCAGACAGTCCAAATAACAGTTGATAAGATTATTTGAGCAAGCTGGGTACCTCATGAGATACAGGAATCACAGTATCAGGATGGAGAAACTGTGGAACTCAAACTGAGGAAGCATTAAAGCATGGAGCCTCATTCTGATAAGGAGAAAGGGACTCTTGGAAAGATGAAAGTGTGCTGAACTTTTAAATGTTACTCTGTATTTTCAAAGATTTATAGAACGATAGTTTCAAAATTAGAGTCAGACTGTGGAAATACGTATTTAACTGACAAAGCTTACCCAGGGGGGCAAATACAGCCGCTGGCACAGGGTGGTGAGGGGACACAAGAGAAGTTCATGGCAAGATTTGCACAGGAGACCCCACAATTCACACCTGCTGCTGGTAATCCAGGCACAGGAGATCTGCAGTCATAGTAGATTTTTCCTTCAGGGCATATGTGAACTTCAAACGTAAAATGCAGGTTAAATGAGATCAGATTATCTTTCCCACTGTTTTCTACTTCTTTTAGTTCACAGTCTTTTTATTTTAATACACATTTTGCACACTGTAGAGTATTCATAAGAATGCATTCCAAGTAAAAGTTTACAGCTTAATCTGTATTACAGAAATATATAATTAATACCTGTTTCAGTGTTAAAAAAAAAAAAGTTTAATATTAAACATCTGGATCAATGCACCCTGGATACACAAACCATTCATAAAGATTAAGTCATCATACTCCAGGTAGACACGATCTTTAGAAGTGCCTTAGTTTACAGTGTACTGAAATCTCTTCTGAATGCCCTAGAAATTCATTAAAAATTCACTTACTAAAAATCAAGGTCCTAAAATTTACTAAATATGGATATCAAGCCTAAGTATAGGTATTCCCAAGAGAAATCCTGACCTGCACCTCACATATAAAAAGATCAAGTGACAAATTTTAAACACACACAAAAAGACTTGTGCTCCTAAGCTCCTATTTTAGATTTGCTGTGACATTGTCCCTCAAAATTATTATAGTATCAGAAAACAAAATATTATTCAGCATCAGAAACTTCCTCTGCGCAACTGTTAGACAAGAAAAGACCATGAGTTACCTGTGTTTTCTGAAGTAGCTTCAATACATTTCACTGTTCCATTCAAGCACTGGCTGGTTAAAAGAAAGGCAAACCCATATTTATTCTAGGGGAAAATGTATGCAGTCACCACATTAAAAAGCATAATAGAATTTAACCCAATTTGAAATGATTGAAATCTGAAATCTGCCCAGCATTTTGATGGTATGCCTAAATGCTTGTATGTAACGAGTGCCCAGACGTGGAGTTTAGGTACTACTTAATTGCTTACTTTTCATGAAAACAGAAAAGAAGCTGGATATTTGAATTTCTCTGGATACTTAGGGTTAGATGGACCAGGATGCTGACTGTGTAACACAAAACTTTATCTCCCTTGATGAATCCAGAAGGATACAGCATGTAAATTGTGTGTTGCAGAAAACACACAGCTTTATATTTTGCTGATAAAATGCAGAATTGCAGAAAGACACATTAGACAACAGACTTAATCCACTTAATTTCTCATTAAAAAAAAAAAAAAAAAAACCAGCATAGGAATGGTAGAAAATGAATCTCATATACTAATCTCTTCAGTTGAATGACTATAATGCTGCAGTTGTAACAATTACATGTTACTATATTCTATATAGTACAAGACTCAGCAGGAGCCAGTTGATACTTGGGTCCCAGGTATGTTTCTAAATAGCAGATTAAGAGTATTCCTTGTAAAGTGAACACATTTGACTGGGAAATCAGGGAGGTTTCTTCACTTCTCTCACTGAGGTCAGGATTCCATCATAAATTAATAATACAAAAGGACACAAACATAGATCTCTGCAAGTCTTTGTTTGAAAGATTTCCTAAAATAGAATGACACTGTTTATTCCTTGGAAACCATTCTCATTTTGCTATCATAATGCGCCCAAGTCTATGAACAGCACTGCAACCTTGATATATTTATTTTGAGATACTCTTTAGTTCCTGGCTGACAGAATCTTCCTGGTATTCTGTTTTTAAAATAAATGAGTATGCAATACAATTTATGTTAAGCTACCTATTACTAAGTGTGAAATAGGAGTAAGATCTTGATATAACAGATCTTCATTCTATGTGAAAAAAATCTCAAGGCTCCTGAGATCTCAAGAAAGATGTTACTCAAGAAACGTTAGACAAAAGAGATGTTGAGTATTACACACAAAAGATAAAAGCCTTGGATAATCAAACCTACCAGGAACCTGTTGGCAAGGGGAGGATTTCTCCAGGCTGTAGGACTTTGCCCTTGTAATGACAACGACAGGCAGATCTGACAAAATAATAATCATGCATATAGATGTAAAAGCAAAATGAAATGTGATTTAAGGGCAATCAATTTATTCTTTTATGATGAGAAAACCTAAGCCAACCTCTTTAAAGTCCCCTCTAATATAACTATTCTATTCCCTTTTAATTTGCATTTATATTTACAATATGGCTGTACTGAACTCAGTGGTAATATTGCCATCATCATCATCAATAAAGACAGACTTTTCCTCAATCTCCATATTATTTATTTGCTCTTTGTGTACATTACAATCTTATAGATCGATTTTCTTCCCAGATATGGGAGTAGTATGGCAACATTTAGTTCCTTTTCAAAGTAATTGGAAAGAGGAATTATCATAGCAAAATCCATTAGACTTGTTCCTGATAAGAGCCAAATGCAATTTGGTAGTAACAGTAGTAACAGAACTCCCAAAAAAACATTTAAAAATACTGGATTACCTGGTTACCCCACACTCTACAGTCATTTGAAGCAGTTACAATTGACAGCAATAACTCAATAATCTTGAAATTTATATAAATATTTATTCCAGTTTTTACTCCGTTCTTGAACTCAGTAGCTACCTACCATAGTAAGATATAAACTGTAGGTACAAAATTATAGAGAATATTTCCTTTCAATGACCATTTCCATCCATTTAACTGAAGGTTTTTGCATTTTGAGACAGCAAAAACACTCCCAGCCACTTTCTCCATATTATCCATGACTTTATGGATTAATACTATGTACACCCCTTCGCATTTTTTCTTGAGTGCTAAAAGCAGGCTTTTTAGGTGTAAATTTTTTCCAGGTTTTTAAAATATTCATCACCTTTCTGTACAGCAGTGTGACATATCTTCTCTGAAGTGCAGTCTACATACTGAGGGAAATAGCAGAAAAACTATTCTCAGCCTTGCTGGGAAGAGAAAGATGTGCCTATACATATATCCTATTTTCAAATGACTTACACTGACACACAAAAGTTGACTGACTCTTCGAAGTATTTCCCGTCAGGACAGTTACAGCCTTCCGCACAGTCATCACCACAGATATTTGCCATAGAAAGTGAAGCACAGGAGTGTTTACAAAAAGAAGAGCACTGATGATAAAGCATACCACTGTGACACATCACAGCTGGAGAAAAGAGAGAGGGAGAGAGAAGAGTGAACAACATATTCTTAAAATGAAAAATAAAAAAACAGGACAATATATCGTAGGAGATCAAAGCAGCGATGCAAAATGATCTTTTGCTGTTCTGGAATGAATTAAAATATGTGATAAAAAAAATCTACTGTTCTACTCATTTCTAAAATTAGAAATGTTCAGAATGGCCTTATGTTAGAAAAATTCCTTAGCTGGATGTAGACAGCATCTATTTTCTGTTTCTGCATAAATGTGTGAGTGGTGTGTGCTTATTTATTTCCTAATTCAGACTTTCAAGAGAAGGAAAATAGTCCAGTTAAAATTAAGGCATTCTCCCATAATTTAGACATTCTCTGTTTTAATCCCTGCCATGTCACAGATATGCTATATCCTGTTTGTCGTATCCCTGCCCAGTCTGCTCTGCCTGCCCCAGAGAGCCCCTTCCACCTTGTCTCACCTTCCCTTAGGGAACAGCCTTGGTTCTGTTGACCCATGATGCGGTTAGCACAAGCTATAGCCATGCTGATCACTGTACATACAAGTGGGCTCCTGTATGACTTAAGGCCTTAAGGTTAGAAATCTAAGATCCTTCTGTAGCCAACAGAAAGGGACAGGCACCTCCGTGAGGCAGCTCAGGGTCTCCAACTCAAATGCCCAACATAAATGCTACCAGCATTCTCCTCTGAGCATGTCGTCCACCCTTAGCACAACTCCAACTTCAACAAAAAAGACATCAATGGCTGTATTTTGTGAAGCCAATGACATCTCTAAAATTATACACATTTTTAAAATGGTCTCCATTCTAGAGGCATTACTCACCACAGTGAGAAATATGAGATCTGAAGTCCACAGAAATACCATGCTTGCCACAGACGTAAGCATAGTGTGCAAGAGAGTTACACATACAGCTGCTGCCACATTTGCAGGCATCAAAGCGACATAGTTGGTAGTATAATCCTGGACTGATGTAGGCATGACAGGGAGCAAAGACTTCTTCATTGATGATATCACAGTAGGATGCATATCCAACTAAGAGAAGGTGACATTGTTTTAGACAGATCCATGTTAATATAGCAATTACAGACATAAATACAAATATAATCGACTACTTGTGCAATAAGAATTTCTATACAATGCATTTCTTGAAATTTATATAGTTTAAAACTGTTATTGTAAGCAACCCTCAAAAACAAACTCAATTTAAAATAAAAATAATAAAAACAAACAAACAAACAAAAAACAGTTTTGCCTTCCTGTGGTAACATGGGAAAGATAAATGGAAAAACAATTTTTTCAAAACAGTTGGAAAAGTCCTTCAAAGCTTGGAATATGGTTTCTTCCAACTCAATGTTTCATTTAGCTTTGAAATTGGTAATGGCCATACTATTATTGGTATGCCAGCTCATTAACCATTACAAACTGGAGCTCAGGAGCCTGCAAGCTGGCCACAGACCTTTTAGTACCAGCAGACCTTCCTTCTACCACTGAAGCATACTCCCACCACACTGGTGGAATATCTCAGTGATGCTATAGTGTGAATCATATTTAAACCAATTTTGCTGCTAAAAACTGTCTCTAGCCCTCCCCATCTCTCTTCATTTCCACATATACATGCTGACTCAAGGGTTTCAGGAGTCTATCAGTAAACAAGATTCAAGGAGTGAACATGACTTGATGGAAAAATAGCCTGACAAAATAAGAGAAAAAACAAAGATTTATTTTCCAGTTTCATCAGGTTCAGATCACATCAGGCCTAAAATCTTGATCGTGCTGGCTCAGTGCAGGTGGCACCATGCAACAGCACCACATAGCCAAGGAATGTTTTTTCAAGAATCACAGAAAAATAAAGGGTAGAAGAGACTCCTGAAGGCCATCTAGCTTATCGTCCTGCTCTGGGCAGCTTACATATATATGTCAAACTCCATCATCACTGAGGAAACACAAATCTGAAGCAAAGTCATGAAGTATCTTGGAGAGAGCTGACTTGGCTGAGATGTACTGCTTTAGAAGATAGCCAATACCAAAGACACAAAAAGCCTTATAATAGGCCAGATTCTTAAAGGTTTACGGTTATTCTGGGCTCACTCCCACATGCTCTAAGCATGGCCAAATCCCACATCCTTATTTCTGAAAGACTAAAAATTCTGCCAGAATTGGCAACCAATCTCTGCTCATTGTCTTCATTAATTGAGAAGAATAGCAACACAGAGAAAGGGAGACAGTGAAAGTTGAATGCAAAATTCAGGCATGTCAACAAGCCAAAAATAAATCTTTAGTCAAGAATTTGAACAAATCTGCAGATCTTATTGTTTGCCTTGGTTTGCATGTGAGAGTATAGATGGAGGATAAAGAAGCATTAAAAAAAAGTTTAGATAATCATGGAGAAGACAGAGACAGGACTTTTGGTCTGAACACTGGCTAGGAGAGACTTTATCCCATGTAATTTCTTCGTCAGTCGGGATATATGTAGCAAAAATACTATTCAGTCCTCTTAGCTGGAAGAATTTGCAAGACATAGAGTGTTCTGCTTAACATTCTTCACATATTCTCAACAGCAAAATGTAAGACTTGTGGCCAGCATGCAAAGCACTAAATGTTCACCTAAATTATTTTAGTTTCCACACCAAATGAGTGGGAACAAAATTATCTTTACTAAGATATAAGAAGAAAATAGAGTGTGCATAGAAGTCTAAAGTTAAAATACAAGCATATATTAATTAATGACTAGTAATAGTGAAACTCATTCACAGAGAAGAAAAAATCCCATAACAAAATGATGCAAATAATTCCATATGAAAACATACTATTTTGCTGATTAACGTTGCAGGGATCAACTACAGGAACATTGATAGGCACAGAACAAGCTGAAGAAACCTTCCATGCATTGGCATGAAGTTGCGGTGTCCCTTCTATCATCCCTGCTGGAGAACTGAAAAGGAAAATATCAACACTGCAAACATCCTGCTGACCTTATGGACTACACACGTGAGGACACAGGTAAATCAAAAAGCTTCAGATGCATAAATAAATTGAAAATTCAACACGTCACAATAATTCTGTCTGTGAGGTACAGAAGTACAGAGGGCATGTGAAGCTTTTTCCTCAACACTTTATTCATGCAAAAATAGTCTTTACACTCAAAGTCTGCGATCCCTTACACTTACTGCAATTAATGAAATCAATTTGAGGAGGCATTAATGAGAGAACAATTTGGCCTTTGTTCAGTGGATTGTAAAAATTTGATGTGCTAGCTTATTTCAGTATTCTAGAAGGGATCTGTTTGCATTTTGATGTGTTTTTTCACTAAATACTTAAAAAATATTTATTATTGCTAGAAAAGTTTCATGATATAATAGCTTGAAGAACTTTGGAGGAAATGAAGCCAAAGATCAAGGGAAGTGTACCCTTCTAATTAAACTATTCCTATGGTTATTATGTTTTTCCACTAACTCAGTTAGGTAAGGATTTTACTAGCATTCTCATCCATTTATTTTTCAGTGCTCATTTATTTGCTCTGATGATGATGGAGCAGTAGGGAGGAAAAATACTGCATTCAAAGAAGATTCAAAGAAGATTGTGATCCCATAGTCAATACGCTACTTTTTGGGAATGACCTAGATGTTTTAGAATGACATCAAAATTTATGAGTTGCACATTTAATTGTTTAAAGTTTTAGCTAAGAGATTCTATATTGATCAGTTTAATAATGAACAAACTGATGAAATGAAAATATGTTCAACAAGACTTTTCACTTGTCATTAAACACAATTTAAATATACTGTATGCAGCTTACAGAAAATCATCTCTTAAATTCCCATTGTAAGTTCCACATAGTCCCAACGTTCTTCTCTTCCAGCTGATGTCAACTTGAACATAGATTCTCTCTCCATCTTTTGCGAAGAGTATCTTCAAACCAAAAGTAGTTTTCAGTTGAACAAACAGAGAAGATACATTCTGAATTTCAATAGCTCCTGCAAATAGCAAAATAAAAAGAAAAGCAGTCATTGAAACTTCCAGATTTTATAAGCTCATCCCTTAATTAAAAACAAATTTTGAAAAGTCAAAAATAAAATGATGAATTGTGCACAACCTCACCTGTTGCCAAAAAAACTCACACATTTTCCATCTAGAATTATAAGACTACAAATCTTTTTCATTACCAACACAGATCAGGTACTGCAACTACTATCAACAGAAAAAAAAAGTCTCACCATTCTGTACCAGTGAGTTATCAGGAGACTACTTACATTTTTTCTTTCTTTCCTCTTTACAGAAATATAATACACTCAACAGCATGCCTCTAGCAATGAGAAGACACAATAAGATATGACTTGTTCCTTAGCACCCAGTGATGTTAAAAGATTAATTAACAGATGTCTGTAAAGTTCATTGCTATCTTCAGATAGAAGGTTCTCTCTTACTACTATTGATATGACATCAGTATATCTCCTTTCCTGGACTGCATGTGAGCCAAGGCCCTAACTAATTCCCAGCTTTCCTTCCCAGCAAATACATGATGAAAGGAAATGGAAACTTCACTGTCACAGCATTCATTTGCTACACACTGTTGATCTACTTGCAGCTGCAGACTTTAATCAGGTCTGTCTGCACTCTCAGACTCTACACACACACAGACACACAAACAGTGAAGATAAAATGCTCGTGTAAGCTTCAAAACATTATAAGCTGATAAGGCTTAATAGATAAATCTATTATCAAGAACACTACACCAAAATATTTGTCATAAACGATGTTAGTCGTAAACTCTGAAGAGACAAGATCAGTAGGAACTGATTCCAAAGATATAAAATGAAATAACCAGCAAAAGTATGAAGCAGACCTTTCAATATAATTAAAACTGAGCTGTGAAACTCTGCTTTAGGAAGCTGCAAATGCCAAAAGCAAAACTATGTCTAGAAAGATCCAGTGAAGAAAAAAACTAACTGCAGTCATAAACTCGGGGTTACCTAAGTCCAGATTGCCAGGGGCTCAGAAAGGAACAGTGAAATAGTACTTTACTATTTGAGAAAAGACTAAAAATCCAGTGAGAATCTATTACTTTGAACAATCACTAGAGAGATGAAATATTGCTTTATCATCTCCACCTTCAGTGCTTGATTTAGTAGCTTCTTTTCAAGGTATATTTCTTACTAGCCTTGCAAAAATTGTGAAGTAACCTTCCTGAAATCACAAGTCGATACTGAAAGTGACACAGACCCTTTGAGTGCATGGATTCTATTCCATGTAATTTATTACAAAAAGCATCAGTTAAGTGTGATCTGAACATCAACATCAAGATGACTTTCAACCTTTTCATCTCTGTTTTTTTTTCCTTCCTATCCTCTAAATAGAGGAAAAATGGGTGGAATTCCTAGGTACTTAGCAAGATAAGAAATGCAAAGAAAGAAGCGTGTAACAAGGGACAATATTTCACCAACTGAAATAATAATTTCATAAGACAGATATAATTAAAACACTTTGGAGCATATAAACAAAGACATGCAAACCCTACTAAGACTCTACTCCATGTAATTTCTTACCATTAACGTTAAAACCTTGGTTAGGACCAGTTTGGACTTGACCGTATCGTGTGAGAGTTACTTGTTTGCTCACATCATCTTCAAGAACTAGTGTTATAGACTCAATGCAGGCATGGTCAAAGTTCTAAGCAGAAACAAATTTCACCATCAGAAAGATCACAAAGACAGTAGTAGCATCAAAAGCAAAAGCAAACAGTTGTATAGAAAGGAAATACTGTCATCAGGTAAATCAAGTGTAAGCCACCATAACATTAAACTGAATATCCAAAATTAAATGCAAAAAAGAAAAATACTGCTTGTGAACAAAAGAGCAAGGTGGATTCATTTTAGCTATTATGGCAGTCTAGCATTAAGCAGATAGAAATCTCCAAGTATTGATACTGGGCTCCCAAAGTAGAGCCCAAATGCAGCAATGAAGTAGAAGGAAACTTGAAATGTAGTTCATCATCTCTGACTGCAGACAAAAGAATATAATTTCTCCAGAAATACACTAAAATTATTTGCAAACGTGTGACTGTCAAAAAAAGGCCACATGAAAACGAACATCCTTCATTTTGAAGTGCTGTCCGGGCAAAATCTGTTAACCTAGATATAGGACCAGAGCAGAAACATAACCAACTGTTGTCAAGCATCTTAGATTCTTCTGGGTCTCTGTGTTTTTACACGGAAACTTTTCAAAGTGCCTAGAGCTGTAACTACAGATCACTTTCAGCAGCATCTCTTGTCTCTCAGTGACTACATAACCAACTCTATCATTCTTGAGACCACCTGAAATGAAAAAAAAAAAAAAAAAAAAAAAAAGGAGTCTCATAACATGAGGAAGAAGAGACATAAAGAAAAGCAGAGGTACAGAGGTACCAACACGTGGGCTATTGTGAGGCACAATCTGAGCCCTGTCTGACAGCCTAGTTCCTGCATGGAAGTCCTGCATGGAAGCACTTTTCATAAACACCTCTATTCATAACACCTGTTATTGAATACTTGCCAAAACACTTTCAAACAAATACACATGGTTAGTCTCCTTAAAAATTTTCTAAAAGGCATTGTTCCAATAAATTAAATATGCTGAAAGATAACAAATACATATCTAAAACTATGAAAAAATCTCTTACTTAATTGTGTATTAAGTTTGTCCAGTGCTGCCAGCAAAAGCTTTTCTAAAGCATGAGCCATCTGCATACAGTACCACATTTTTATTAATAATCTGGATGAAGGAATTCCTTCACCCCCCTCAGTAAATTTGCAGATGACAGCAAACTGGAAGGAAGTGTTGATCTACTTGAGGTAGGAAGGCCCTACAGGGGAATCTGGATGCACTGGATCAATGGACTGAGGCCAATTGTATGAGGTCCAACAAGACCAAGCACTTCGTCCCACACTTTGATCACAGTATGCCCATGGAATGCTACAGGGCTGGGGCAGAGTGGCTGGAAATCTGTGCAATGGAAAAAGATCGGGTGTCATGGTCAACAGCAGGCTGAACAAGAGCCAGCAGTGTGCCCAGGTGCCCAAATAGGCTGATGGTACTGTTGATTGTATCAGAAATAGTGTAGCCAGCAGGACTAGGGAAATCTATGGATTGTCCCATGTATATAGCACTGGTGAGGCTGCACCTCAAATACTACGTTCAATTTTGAGCCCCTCACTGCAAGAATGACATTGAGGTCCAAGATGGGTAATGAAGTTGGTGAAGGGTCTGGAGCACAAGTTCTTATGAGGAGTGGCTGAGGGAACTGGGATTATTTTGTCTGGAGAAGAGGAAACTCAGGGGAGACTGCAGTGCTCTCTACAACCGCCTGAAAGGAGGCTGGAAGTTGGTTTCTTCTCCCAGGTTACTAATGACAGAAGAAAAGGTAATGGACTAAAGTTGCACCAGAGAAGGTTCAGGTTGGATATTAAGAAAAGTTTCTTCTCAGAAAGAGTAGTCAAACACCGGAACAGGCTGCCCAGGGATATGGTGAACTCACTGTCACTAGAGGTGTTCAAGAAACAAGTAGACGTGGCACTTAGGGACATGATTAGTGTACAGAGTGATGATGGATTGGCAGTTTTCAACCTTAATGATTCTATAATTCTTTGACTGTATGACTGTTCACATATATACTCACTTAATACGCAGAGATGAATAACTCTTCAGACTTAATCCTTCTAAAGTTGCAATAGGTTTTATAAAGGACAATAAAACACGTAGCAATACAACCATATTAAAAAAAGCTGTGAAAAGGTTTCAACTCACACTATTCTTCTTTTCACATAACCTGATAATCTATAGTAGCATCTATGCAAAAATATTTGAAATACATATACACTTTTGTTATGGATGTTCAATGAAAGCGTGACTTACATGTCCACAAGGTGCTTTCTGTAAAGTGATTGTGAATTTGTTCTTTCCAGTGCCTTTTACTAAAATGTACTGGCAAATCCCAAGAAAGGTAAAATGACGTCCATCAAATGTTGTGAAATGGGAGTTACCTGTGACGGAGCACTCAGCTTGAGAGAAAAAAGTTAAAGACAAAAGTTCACTTAAATAATAATGTATTGTTGTTCTGTGAGAAATATAATACAATAAAAAAAATAATAATTATCCCATTAGAGCATTAGTTTTTTTAACTGTTACAGCATTTGAAATTTAAATATGTTATATACACATCTTTCCATTGTATGCCATCTCATTTTGCACACGCCCATGTGTAGCTTTGGTATTACCTAGAATGAATGTGAGTCACTGGTTCCCTAGAATACATGCAAAAGCTTTCTCTGTGTTACAGCTCTGACGTTTCCTGTAATCTTCTTCCTCATCATTTTTTGGCATGGCTAAGTATGAAAGAGAAAGCCAGCTTTTTTCTCCTCCCTCACTGGTACTACAGCACTGCTTATTGCTGCAGGCATGAAAATGCTGTGTTTGAACATGTGGGTTGTCCTAAATTCCGGGTGAGCAGATATCTGTTGTCTGTCCTCAGGGTGCCCCTACATTCTTGTTTCAGTTCAGATCAGGAGACCACTGTTGAAGTAAGCCTCCAGCAGATCCCCACTTACTGCACTTTGATTCAGCTTGTGAGGTCACACCAAAGCACATAAGCTAGATTCCTCTTTGCTGCAACTGCAGCAGGAGGCAACCTGTGGGAGCACACCTAACCCACTCCTACTGCTAACAGACATTCATTCCTTAGGACAAGACTAGTCACACACAGCATGCATATGAGCTGATACTCAATGACAGAATTAGTCTACAGATCCACCTTCCTAAGATTTTTTTAGTACCTCCCGAGCTTTGTTTGCTAACTCATTCATAGGAGGTTCTTTAATTTGTGGGGGAACAAAAAAAAAAAAAAAATATAAGAAAAAATTAGATTCTCTTTCACAAGTTTCATAGTACGATTTTGTTTAAGGTACTGAACTGTCAAAGAAGTTTCATTAGCTGATGATTTATGTTTGTCTCAGTAAATCATTAAAGAGATGTGTAATCTTTAAAAAGAAAGATCCGGACACAAACTATTGTTACAAGGGTGAAATTGGAGCACTCTGAGCAACAGAATGATACTCTTTTTATTGTCTGCATTACAGCTGCATCTAGAAGTGAGGAGAATCTTATCCATGGCTCACTGCACAGACAGTGTAGCAGCTGTCAGTGGAATTAGATACATGTCCCAAAGCACACAGAGTATAAGGAGGTAGAAGAAAATGTGTGGATGTAACACACTGAGTTAGGGAAACAAATAGGAAAAAGTAAGTCAAGTACAATCAGGCAATTAACAGTTTTGCCTCAGCCATCCCACTGCTACTGGACATTTGTGTGCTAAATCTTTCTTCTTAAAATTGCATCCCAAACCCTTGGATTACATTTGAGTCTGTTGTATTTGGAAAAGTTTATCCCTTGTGTTCACTGAGGAAAGAAATCATGAAATACAGATACCTGGGCAATCATGATCAGTACAGTTCCAAATGCCACCAGTACAAACACTAAAAAGAAAAATCACAAAATACAGAAATTCAGTGTTCCAATATTTATCAAAATAGGAGCTATGCACTAATTAATAGATATTGAATCCACTGTTTCTGTAGAACTGTTTTTTGATGATACACAAAGCCCAGACCATAAAGTGTAAGTACTAACTATTCTTTGAAATTTGAGCACAACTGTGATGTTAAACTAACTACACGGAGCAGTCATAGATAGAGGAAGCACATACGTGAGGCTGTCACATACCAATTACTACATTCTTGCTCAATTTTTGTGCCTACAGGGAAGGCAGTTCCATGATAAATACAAGGACAATTTGACACGGAGATGCAAGTTCCATTTTCCATAATGAGACCTATTGGGGGGGAAGTTAACACATGAGATAAAAAAAAAAAAAAGTAAATGGACTCAGTGTTCTTGTTGTTGCCCCATCTTATTCAAACATTCAAATCTGTCAGAAGGCAACTGGGGACTAGTATAAAGAGTCACCTAGTGATTGCAGAATGCTCAGAACATTAAATGCTTAAGCCTTCTCAGAGCAGATTTCCTTTTGAAAGGTTGCTTTCTGAAAAATGTTTCCCTAAAGTATGTAAAATTCTACAGACCCAAAACCTAAAAGGTTTTGATATCATATAATACTAGCCCTTCCATAATCAGACTGTTCATTGACCAGTCCCTAATTTTCATTTAGTATAGATCGCAGGAAGCTTTCTTGAATAGAGTATACGATACATTCTGTTCAAACAAAACCTCATTTGCTTCAGGAATAATTCTAATAAAGTTGATTAAACCTATGCTATGCATCATTGTAGACAGCATTAGTGATGGCTCTAAATTTTAACTGGTATTTTATTCTATGCCATAATATTCTCCGTAAATATTCAGAACACAATAAAAGACAGAATCACAGTTAGAATAGCAAAAACAGAAACAACTAAATTATTCATATTTTCTGGCTTTTAACTTTAAGTATAGTTTATTTAGACAACTTTATTACAATGCTGGATATTAACTTTACAAATATTTTTCACAGAAAATTAACAGTACTCACCATCTGGACAGTAACATCCATCTAAGCAGTATAGGTTGCTACCAAGACAATCTTTTTCAAAGGTGCAAGTTGGTGGACAACAACTGATACAATCACGGTGTACAAAGCTGTCTTCACACTTCTCAGCTAGAAAAAGAGCACATCACATTGTGCATTAGTGCAATTTCTCTTTCCATACTGGAAAAGTCTTATCTCATTAAATAAATAGTTGTGCAACACTTCAGATGTAGGTGATTATCCAGTTTAGGTACAATGGATTGTTGGAGAGGCTGCAACTGATGAACTGCAGTGAATCTCTCATCAGTATTCAAGTCTGTTTATCAAATTCTTCTATCACCTCTCCACTACAAGTTCATAGTTCCTGTAACAGGGGAAACAATGCGTGCTCATATCTCAACTAGTTCAAAGTTCCGTGAACTACAATTGATAGGCAGCAGTGACGACGAGAAGGAGTTGCATTCCCTTTGTTCATTCTGTTATAAAGCTGGTAGAGGCTGAAAGGCCAGCTGGAAACAGTGATGATATCAGACCTCCACAGATGTTTTTTCTTCCCTGTGAAATATGATCAACTTACATGAAGTTCCAAGCAATCTGCACAAACATGAATTTTGTATGTATCTACATGAGATCACAATAGAATTAAAATAAACCTCAAGCAAGTCATTGACTTCTTTGTTCTCCATTAATAATGAAGCTGGCTGATCTACTTCAGTATAAGGTTTGAGTCCTATCGCAACAAATGTTGTTAAGATGGAATTACTTGAAAAGGACATCTGGTGGTATTTCAAAGGTCATACACTATGCTTTGCTAAAGAGTCTTACTACAAGCAGGAAAATCATCCCTCCAGTCTCGCACAGGGGACCCAGCATGGGAGCATGCTCTAGCATACTCTGTCACCGCTCTGCAGTATGTTTCATCATCATCCACCCTGAAATGATAAAACAAGGGAGTAATCACAAAACTTAAATCCCACCTACAAATCAATGCCACAGGAGTCTGCTCAGAATACTTCACTCACCTGATGCTGCTGTCCAAGAGGATGGTGAAACATAACCTTGTCATGAAGACAATGGACAGTTCAACAGTACAATTCAACAGTTGCCCAGAAAGGCAACAATGGAGTTCAACATTACAGTTCAAGAATGCAGCTGAACAATTGTCCAGAGAGGTTGTGGGTGCTCCCACACCTGAGATGTTCAAGGCCAGGCTGGATGGGCTTTTGAGCAACATGATCTAGAAAGAGGTGTCCCGGCCAGGAGGTTGGAACTACATGATCTTCAAGGTCCTTTTGGTATGGAAACTGCCACCTATGCTGATACTTGGACCAAATGTCCCTTATCAAGCTCAAGTTTCTAATTCAAACTTAGTCCTTGAACTTAGGTGAGGAGAACCCTGTTGGTTAGTTGCTTAGCATCAGAAGCATTATCTATCAAATACTGTAGACAAGTTCAGAGAGTTATAGTGCAATCTTGAGCAAAGCCATTATCTCTACATTAATCTATACAGAAGAAGCTGGATAATGCATTTCTGCCAGAGTCAAGTAGAGAGATATTCATCAGTATTTAGTAACCTCAGATTTTACCCAGATGCAAGTTACATAATGCAAAACACTACCAGTTTTTAATGTGAAAACCCAACAACTCCTATCACTCTCCATGAAGGACTTGATGCCCAAATGAACCAGTCATAATAAGACATTTCTATTATAAGTACTAGCAGCACAGATTAGCTGAGTTTGTCTTTCAGCAAAAAAGATCAAGCTTCCAAATTAACGGTCTTGAAAACATATTAAATGGTATTTGTATTCTGCTTTCATCACATCTGTTACCAAATCAAACACCACTATATTCTTTGTTACAGTGATCACAGTTTCTCCCAATTCTCTTTATCTAATCCAATTAAATGGGTCTTAATACAAAGAATACTTGGCATATAAAATGGCCCCCCTTTATAAACTGACATTAAGCCACAAGAAGAGACCTCTTATAAGCAAAGTAAGCCTAAATTAATTAGGTTCTCAGACACAGAAACTTCCTTCAAGGTTTTTAACATTCACACAATTCATATTCAGCACACACATGCATTTCAACAAAAATCAAAACCTCCTTAATGCTGTAATACGGCTCAGTATGACGCTTGAAAGTTTGCTTCTCAATACACTTTTTTTACTCCTTAATACCATGACATAAATTAAATATCACATCTTAAAATTTGCTTTTCATTATTCTTCTTCTGACTGAGGGAAAGGCACAATAAGCTCCTGAGTTACACTGACACTATGCAGAGGCAGCTCAGCTCTTTTCTTAGTTGAATTAACGTACAGAGCACCAAATGCAGAAGAAACACTTTGAGAACTTGCTTACAAACTCAAATTCTTCTACACTCACTCGATGGCAAAACAGAAAACTCAAAATTCATTGAAAATGAACTAACAAGTTGTAATGGATGCTACTGAGTGATTCTTGCTTTTAGTCTTGTGAACCTTTCTGTATGCTTTTGATTAAACTGATGATGCTCTGAGAAGGTTATAATAGTACCTGATACAAATCCTGTTATTTACGACAATTGCCTCTCAGTCATAAGACTTTTTTAAAAAAGAAGCAATACATTGCTCAGTTTTCTGTTCCATTACTCTCTGAAGCATCTGTTTACTGTGAAAGACTGGTAAATAAATAAAGAGTCCGGGGCTAAGAGAAAAACAGCAGTTTACATACAACCCCAGCAACTGAGGATGTGCAACTCCCACCAAAACCAGTGAGAGCTGATTTTCTTTTTACATCTCTGAATTTATATAAATAAAACAGTCTTGAAAAAAATCTACATGTTTGAATGATGATGCTTGTTCTACTATATTTTTATCAGAAAAACAGTCTCTATGGAGGAAATGTTTCTACTCCTCCAGCATCACTGATATTTCCTTTCAGTATTGTCCTAATCATGTATTTTTTGCTCAGAGCTTCCAGATGTAGTATTCTGTGTGTGCATGTGACTAGCAACTACCTTTTGTCATTAGTGATTTTCCATGAATTTCTCTCGCACGTGTTTGTCTAGTCTTTCCTTGAATTCATGTAAATATCTAGCAATCAAACTTGAAGCACAGGTTACGTGTCCTCTAGTTCCACAGTAAAGCACCCATTGAGAGAAACACCATCTCCTCCATTTTGAATTCTTTTAGTTCCTACTAACTTCACTCAGTACTGCTCAGTTCTTGCCTTAGAAAAGGAAGCATTCATTTCATGCATCAAAAAAAGGAAACAAGAACTCCATTCTTACCTGCAAAGATCATTCATACAGCTAGAAATATAAGAATATGGATCTATGCTCTCATGACAGCTGAGGAAAGGAAATTGTAGGAGTATTTGGCACTTGAAGAATATATCCTGTGCATTAAGGAAAACCAGTAAACAACAGTTAGAAAATAGATTCTGAACAAGCATAATTATTTTTAGCTTTGTTGATCTAATCTAGGGTCCTTCATACTCCCATTAAAGCTTGAGAATCTCAAGTCTCCATTTATTATGTGTCCTCTACTATTCTTCCTAAAATTTGTCCTCTCTAACTACAGAGGCCTGATCACATGCTGCTCCCAACCTACCTGGCATGGCAGATTGCAAACTGACCAAAAAATTATTTAGGGTCAATCCTGGAGCTGAGCATGGTACTTCTGCAATATCTCATCATTTCCTACATAATGAGCTGTAAGATGCCAGAACTGGAAAGTGAGTAATGCAGCAATGAAGCAGACCTTTACCACTTGGCACATCCTACTGGAATGTTTGTACTTTCAAGCTAAACTGAAGATCTTCAGACATTCCCCAGCAACAGCCCTGACCTGAATCTTCTCAAAGCCTCAATGCAGTTGAGCTTTTTTTCTATATGGTTTATATTACTACATTCTTGTACCATCACTAGGCAGAGAAGATTTAAAAGAATAATAATAATAATTACTACATGATTAATTTACCTCAGTGGATTCTGCATTAGCTGAGCAAGGACTGGAAAAATCTAAGGCAGTAGGTACACAAGCTGCATCATCTGAGATTTGCACAGTCCAGCTGTTTGCAAATTCAGCAATGTCTTCTGTATATTCACCTCCTGTGTGATAAGAGAACCAGAAAAAAGACTGTCAGCACAAGCTACAAAGAGGTCTTGGAAATTTCTGAATGTTTTTAAACACATACATTACTTCAGATATTGATACGTATAGAGTACGTAGAGTTTAGACTTTTTAACATTAGGCAATATATTATACCACATGTAGATGAAAAATTACATAGGTATATATATGGGGCAAATATTCTTTTTAAATACAATTAATGACACTTTTACAACAAACATACAAATAAAAACTACTTTAACACACTGAACGTTTAGAAAAAAACATCTCTTTAAAACAATTTAAGACTTGCATCATGTTTCACAGTGGTCAGTTAGCACTGCTATCTCACTCTCTTCCCCTACTGCAGAAAACCCCTATGACAAACATAATACTGGCCCAATTCTCCTAACAGCATGGGGATGAGAGAATGAATGAATGAGATGCACGATTGGAAGTCATGGCAACAGACACATAGGAACATGCAAGAAGGTTGTGGTAAAGGAACAAACCCAGAATTCCCATATTTTTGCAGCAAGAACTATGTATTACATTTTCTCTATGTTCTTAAGTATGCTAGAGAGAGTTTACTGCCTCCACTTTGAAGAACAATAATTAATATCTATGTAATTGTTATCTATGCATGGTTAAGAGAAAGAATATTGAAGAATATTGGAATGAAATTAGTTGCTTTTTTCTTTTTTTCTTCATAGAACAGTATTATCCAAAACTTAATTCAACTTCTTTCAGCACAAAATGTACACAGTTTGACACTCTGGAATGTGGAAAGTCCCAAAACACAATAATCAGATATTTGTACTTGGATATCCACAAATAAACAAAACTAAACCAATCTAGTTCACTTAAGAGCCAGGGAGAGTTAAAACTTTTCTCCTTTGCTGACAGAAGAGTTCTGAAACCCTTCCCAAACTTAATAGTCTGTTTTTTGTCTAGAAGTAAACCTGTTGATACAAACCTGGTTCTGCAGAAACATTAAAGAGTTTTATTTTCATTTTGACATGGCTTGAAAAAAACATTCTAAGTCTTAAAAAAATCCCACTATACAAAATCACTGTCCTTAAAATAGTTTTACTCACAGATACAGTCCCATGTATTAAAGCAATAGAAATATGAAGATGAAGGGAACAGAAAAGAAATTTATTTTTTAAACTGTGCTTTGATATTGAGACTCCACAGCTTCGTTATGTAAGACAATGCAAAAACAGGGCATTCAGACTCTGCGAGATTCAGGATAGATGTAAGAATTTCCTTTACACTACTGTAGGAATAGTATAGTCAGGGGAGACAAATCATCATCCCAAATGAGAAATTGAAACATATAGAAAAAACTTGCAGCTTAAAAGCAATTTTAATGTAGTTAATCTATTCATGTGAAGATAGCAGAACGTCTAGCATTGTATTTGCGCAGGTAAAAAGGTTACCATACAACTGGTTCAAGGTTAAAATAATTCACAGTGATCTGGATTGTACTCTACAATAATACTGTCATTTCTGACAAAGAGAAGAACCAAAAGAAATGACAATGGAAAAAACATGTCGCTTTGAAATTGAAGAAAGAGATGTCATACTTGTCTTTTCTAACAGAGAACACATTTAAAAATGCTGAGATAATTACTTTTAAAGAATTTGTGTGAGTTCATTACCTCTTCAGAATTCAATTTTTCATCACCATTTTTTTAACTAGTTATTAAACATATTAAACTCTGGTGTGCAGCAATTAAGGTTTGAAATAGTGAACACACTTCTTTCATGACAGAAGAAATACTAGGAATTAATACTGGGCAGATTTTTAAACAGTGCGAAGAAATGTTTCTTCCTTCATTCAAAGTCTTGAACACCTGCCTATCAACTGTAATGAATGGAACAAAACAGAAAAGGGAAAAAAAGTTACAGTGAGATAAACTTTTGGCTTAATAAACTGTAGGGTCATGGGATTTGATTCTCTCAGCAATCAATGATGAAATAGTTCTATCTTTCTTCTTATCAGACTGAATTCCTATGTTTTCTCTTTCTTCACATTGGTTGTGAGTAGGACAAAAGTTTCTAGAGAGTAGAAGTATTTTGAACTACACAGATTACAGAATATTCTTCCAACTTAGTAAATCACTTCTTCCTCAGATGAGACAGCATTGGACAACTCACCATACAGGGTATTAGGAGGCCCTAAATACAACATACCAACAGAGAGATATGAGGAACTTTCTGGAAAGTGCTTTTAAATGTAAATATTTCAGCTCATATTTTTATGACAGCAATGTAAACAAATGACTCAGTGTGGTGTTTTTTCCAAATATTAATATTTTGTTTTTTCACTCTTTCCTCCATTCTTAAACCTACAGAAAACCGCAAGCATTTGCTTATTTATTTATTATTTCAAGGCACTTCCATCAGTTAAGATAAACACAGACCAAGTACTTTGTTGAGCAAGAAAAGGCTTAAGCATACATATAACTAGTTTCTTCAATTGGGATTTTTTTTTCCCTAAACGTGCCCCCAGCCTCACTGCAATTTTGGACATTGTGTTGAAGGATATGGTTTAGTGAGAACCATTGGTGAATGGTTGGACTGGATGATCTTACAGGTCTTTTCCAACCTTGGTGACTCTATGATTCTGTGAAGAATAGAGCACATATTCTATTTTCTATTCAAATAAGGACTCTGTCTTTTCTTGCATAAAAGATTTTAGGTGAACATGGAGCTGCTTACACAAGGTAAGGGTGTATTTCCAAGCCATTTACTTACTATTTTGCAGTATCAAGTCATCATATTTATCGCCATTAAAATTTCCACAGAGGCCACAAGGTTTTCCATGATGATCTTCTGTTAGCTTAATATAAATACCAGAGTTTCCATCCCAAGCAAGAGAAAAACCGAAGGTAGTTTTCACCAGAATATAGTCAGCCAATCTCTCAAAGAAAACATTTCCAACTGTCTGTGGCAACATTAATCTGGAAAAATAAACAACTTACTTCAAAGATCACAGATGAGACAAGATTAGTAGTAGAAAAATACACATAAAACATTATCATCTAACTCTCTACACACTTTTTTTCCCAAGGTTTATAGAGCCACTTCAGTATTTTGTCATCTATTCTTTGCCATCTGTTCTTATTTGCTTGTCTGTATGGATCATTACAAGTGAATGTTTTTCTGGTGTATACAAGTATCAGTTGTTCCAATTATAAGTCTGAAAGAATAATTCATCTTCATTTTCAAAATTCAGCACAGGCACATAGAGGAATATGTGACTTCATGAGCATCCTGGTTTGCATAAGCAGCTCTGTGACATTACCATCAGAGCTCCTGGTATGGTGAGCATCAGCAGTCGTTCTGGGCACAGGATCGATCATCAGGTAGGTGAACGCAAATAGAGGATTTTGCAGTACAGAAGATGCTCATGAACAAGAATTGTATATCAGAAAGTCATATAATTTTTTAGTTGTGAGGAATGCCTAAAGGTCATCTAGTCCAACTCCTCTGAAATGAGCAGGAGCTTCTATAGGTAGATTAGTTTGATCAGAGCCCTATCCAGCCTGACCATGAATGTCTCCAAGGAGGGGGCTTCCACCACCTCCATGGGCAACATGTTCCAGTGCCTCACTAACATTACTATAGAAAACTTTTTCCTTACATTCAATCTAAATCTCCACTCTTTTGATTTGAAACCATTTCCCCTTATTCTATCACAACGGACTCTGCTAGAGTCTGTCCCTTTCCTTCTTATAGACCCCTTTTAGATACTGAAAGGCTGTTCTCAGGTTTCCCTGGAGCCTTTTCTTCTCCAGACTGAGCAGCCCCAGCTCTCTCAGACTGTCCTCACAGGGGAAGTGTTCCATCTCTTGGATCATTTTTGTGGCCCTCCTCTGAACACACTCTAACAGGTCCACATCTTTCCCGTACTAAGGGCTCCACATCTGGATGCAGTACTCCAGGTGAGGTCTCCTCAGCACAGAGAAGAGGGGAAGGATCATTTCCCTCAGCCTGCTGGCCACACTTCTTTTAATGCAGCCCAGGATACGAGTGGCTTTCTGGGCTGCAGGGACACATCATCGGCTCATGTCTAGCTTGCCATCCACCAGTATCACCAAATCCCTTTTGGCAGAGCTGTGCTCTATTGTTATAGCCCCCAGCTTATAGTGATAGTGGGGATGCCACAATCCAGATGCAAGACCTTGCATTTGGATTTGTTGAACCTCATGAGGTTCACCTGGACCCACTGTTCAAGCCTGTCTAGGTCTCTCTGAATGTCATTCCATCTCTCAGGCATGTTGACTGCACCACACAGCTTAGTATCATCCATAGTCTTGCTGAGAGCATGCTCGATCCTACTGTCACCGTTGCGTATCAAGATGTTAAAGAGCAACAGTCCTAGTACAGACCCCTGAGAGATACCTCTTATTACTATTCTCTATCTGGTGAGCCATTGATCACCACTCTCTGGGCATGCTGGCATGCTCTCACAACCAGTTCCTTGTCCACTGAACAGTCCACTCTTCAAATCCACATATTTGGAGAGAAAGACATGGGTTACCATGTCAAAGGCCATACTGAAGTCCAGATAGATGATATCTCTGGCTCTTCCTTTATCCATTGACACGGATATGCCATCATAAAAAAATGACAAGGTTGGTCAGGCACAAACTGCACTTGGTGAAACCATACTATTATGCCACATCACCTCCCCCTCTTCCATCTGCCTTAGCATAGGTTCCAGGAGGATCTTCTCCACAATCGCCAGCACAGAGGTAAGGATGACTTCCCTGGATCATCCTTTAAACGCTTCTTAAAAATAGGTGCTATATTGTCTTTTCTCTAATCACTATGGACTTCACCCAACCATCATGACCTTCCAAATAACATCATGTGGCTTGATGATTACATCAGACACCCTCCTCCCTTGTCCAAAAAAAAAAAAACACTGGACAATAATACTGTAGCATGATTTAATCTTAATCTTCCAAAAGCAGTTCTGGTGGGATGAACAGACTGATAGTATTATAGTCATCAGCCTCAGATGCTAATGTCTGTAACATAATTATATCCAAATACATACTTTCTAACATATTATGAAAGAATACCTTAAGTCTTTGAAATTTGCTGTACTTTATCAAACAGCAAAAAAACACTTATGATAGTCTTGTACTCATTTTTTTTATTTAAAAAAAGTTAAAAAAAAAAAAAAAAAAGAGTACATTGGATGTTGGATGTACCTCAGAGATTTTTGTGGAGTATTTGCCCTGAAGGGGCAAAGGAGGTTTAAGATCTTTTATTCAGTTAATTCAGACTTGTCTATAAGGTTATGTGTTTAATTAAGCATAGCCACATACAAAGCATAAATAATGACCGCCTTGTTCAAAATGGTATCGGGATGCATCAGAGATAAGCTGAAATGGTCTGATGCAGACAAACTGCACAAAGTCAGGGTGGTGAATCACTAGATCTGAGCTGAGAAGTTGAACAGGAGGTTTGTGTAGGGAGTGAATGTTCATTCAGATATTTTATGAACACTATTACATCTTCCTACTCTTGTCAGTCCCAATCCAGAGCAGCCAGGGATCAGTAAAAATACATAGCAAATTATGTTCCCTGTTTGACATAAAAAGCAGTCACTTCTTGAACTCCATAATTTCTGCAATAAAACATTTTAAATGACCATTAGAACACTTACCTGTTTCCTTCCTTTCTTACTTCATGTCCTGAAATAGTTATTTCTTCTTGGTTTGAAAAAAACAAGCTGATTGACCTCTGACAAGAATATACTGAACCATGACAGTGAGGACTGTTATGAACCTTCAAGGGGAACAACATATGCACAGTTAGAATAAATGTTTGTTACCAATAATTTCATGCGAGTTTTCATGAGCACACATATGATAATTTACTTTTCTGTACATTAGTCACCAAAGAGCCTTAGAGACAAATATTTAAATTATGAAAAGGTCATAGTTACAAAAATATGCAAAACTAGAAATTTGCACTAACCAGTACTGCTGAGAAATAGAGCAATTGTTTAACAGCACAAAGTATCACAAGTCAGTGGCTTAAACACTGCAAGAAATACTCAGGTATATAGCATAGATGAACTTCATAGACAGACTCTGTAGTAAGCTAGCTAACCACTGCCAATGTAGGAGCTTGTTATACACACTGAGATACCTCTACAACTTAGTTTCTACAGGTCTGGAGGGGATACTAAAGGATACTAAACCTCGGCCTAAAGCCTGCATTCTCCCTGCCAATCAAGACTGGCACCAGCTGAATTACAGAATGCCTTACTGAACCACTCAGGATTTGTTGAGATTTGAGAATGCTCTCAGAGATTATTGCAGGCATCTAACTTAAGTGCATTGTTAAAACCTGTTTTTCATCGGTTTTCCAGGACTATCAGTGGAAACAGGAAGGCTCTTCTGAAATCCGCCTGTCCCCATCATACACAGAAAGGGTCAAGAGCCGAGTATTGGCTTGACTCTCACATCAGCTTCTTAGTTTGAGCACAGCAAGTGGCACTCAACCAGAGAGAGATTTGCAAAATAGCGTGGCTTACTGTTATAGGCAGTATGTGACTTCCATGACTGCCCATTACTAGAGAAAGGTGTTAAATAGATCTCAGGTGTGTGCTTCTAGAAATGAAAACCATGCAGTTATTATCTCTGCAGGTCCACAGTTTTATGGCAATAAAATAGATCTCAAATAAAAAATAATTTACTATCAGGCCTAGGAACGGGCATGATATGCCAGCGTGCATTTTTTTTACAGTTTGGCAAAAAGGATGCTACCTTTGCAATTGGGATTCCATTGCAATCCCAGCCATCAGCATTGCAGAGTATGGCTCCTGCAGTGCAGGAACATCCCTGTTGCCAGAGATATTCCAGTTTTTGTGGCTAGGGTGTGCTTTCAGGACATGAAAACTGTGGGCTCAGATTTATTCTGACTACTTACACGCGCTAACAAGTTAAACACTACTATGACCTTATGTGACAGTTTTCTTGGAGAAGGATGGGTGTTGGTTTTCTTGACAGTGCTGCGAAGTGAAATAAATGAGTAACTGTGAAACATTTTGCCAGCATAGTAATAGGGGCTGTAATTAGAAACCAGCACTCTCACTTTTACAGAGAAGATCTATTGGTAAACAAATACAGTGCTTACATATACACTAACTAATCTCCCTCACTGACACTAAATGCTGGAAATAAAAAATTTACTGTTTCTTTGAGTGAAATAAACTAAGTCAGTAAAAGCATTAAGGATTTCATATGTATAAAGAAAGCCATAATTAAAGTCATAGTAAATGTTGCTAGTATTGAAAAATGGTTTCTATGTAAGCCTGCCCTAAGATAGAAACACAGTCAAAGAAAATCAAAATTGCTCTCTTTTTCTCTAGAGAGGTGGATTTTTAAAATCAGAAGGACCATAACGTGAGCATTTGGTAAGGTTTTCTGCTCTCCACAGCCCAATTGGAGCTGACTGTAATGCTTCAGCATTACTTGTGATTTTTCTGATTAAACATCTTTAGGTTTTTTAAAAATATGACATTTATTCCAGCAGTGGTAGCTTCTCTCCTTCCAGAGCATTGGGTATCTACCAAAATATTGATTCTAGATTGTAATATAATCATGGAATGGTCCGGGTTGAAAAGGATCACAATCACAATCATCATCTAGTTTCAATACCTCTGCCATGTGCAGAGTTGCCAACACTAGACCAGGCTGCCCAGAGCCACATCCAGCCTGGCCTTGAATGCCTCCAGGGATGGGGCATCCACAACCTCCTTGGGTAACCTGTTCCAGTGCATCACATCAGCAACAATTGTAGAAAAAATAGAATAATGAGCTAATGTCCTCTCCACACAATCACCTTCCTTCAGAGGTAGCATAGGTTTTAATTCTCCCTGAGCTCTATATCATTAACCACAACTTAAAAGAGTGCCTCCCATACATAGGTCAGGATGAAGGCTTCTGAGCTGTTAAACTTCCCTGCACGACGCAGAGGTAAGCCAAAATTAGAACACAAATCCCCAAGGGAACAGACTTTTCCACTGGCTGGGGGAGGCAGTTCCCATCTTAACAAGTCAGTGGCTGCAAGTCAGGGTCTGCTACACTTGGTTGCCCAGCCACCAAGCAGCTGATAGCTGTTTGCACTTCACTCAGCAATTCGGTATGTTCTGCAGTCTGATAGCTGAAGTTTATTGAAGCTTCCAAGGCCTGCTTTAAGACCCAATTTGCTGCATGGGATTTCCCAGAGAGAAGAGAACTGAGATCCTTTTTTAGCATAGAAGGAATAAGAAACACTATTTTTAATATACTGACTCCGTTGATTATTATTTCACCAGTGTTTTGCATTACTGCACACGTGCTCAGACGTTTTCCAGCAGCATAGTTTTGTGTGTAACACAGCAGTTTGATCCGTTTATTCTCTCTCTAGTTACTTTATTCATGAAATATAGGAATACTCAGGATGTATTTCTAACATATGCTCACATACTTACCTGTATAATCAATAGATATCAAGATGTTATAATCACAATATAATTGTATAATCAATAGATATCAAGATGTTATAATCACAATATAATCAAGAGTGTTAGGCAAAGTAGACAATGATAACAAAAAGGAGAATAGGTGGAAGAGCTTACCCTTTGGCTGGGCTCACCACAAAACACCAAGAGAGGCGATCTCCAGAAGAGATCCTTCCCCCCTGGTAGCCAGCTCTTCAATAGGTCTAGGAGGGGTGCAGCCTGGCTCCACCCCTTCTGGCAGCACAGGTGAATTGCCTTCAGCTGTGCTCCTCTGGCTGACTCATGGCTCGCCTCAGGTGATCAATCAGAGGTTCAGGCCATGACTCAGCAGTTCCCATACACTTACCCAAACAGTGTAATGTGGTTCTGGAGTACCACAGTCTTTTGCAAAAATATAGGAGCAATTTCCCGGAAAGTAGTAGTAGATGCCATCAAACGTTTCAAAATGATACTGTCCCCATGATTTGCAAATCCCATCTCGGTCCTTACCATTGTTAGGAACTGCAGAAAACACACTGAGTTTAAAAGAAGTACAGTAATAAAAAATGTAAAGGTGGCAAAGATACCTACAGAAGTAAAAGGTTGGGAAGGAAATAAGAGTTATGAACAAAGGGAATAACAAGGATGAAAGATAACCTGATTTTTTTAACTTGAATAAAAGTACATTTAAAAAAAAAATAAATAAATAAGAATGCAGTTTTAGTCCCACACAGTCATCAGAAATGTTGGGTTCACTTCAGAGATGACATTTTAACACAAAGGACTACTGAATATCTGGGATGATTCTTGGTATAAGAGATTCCACAGTACATTTAATGAGTCAGTTATTTTCAGTAAGTCACTCCATCTTTCTATCAATTGTATAGTTACTCAGTTAACTAAAAAAAGTGGCCTGCTGCTGATACATTAGACAGTGATCTATCTGTTATGGTATCTGTGAATCCTCATAGTCTAGATGCTATAACCTAGGCATTTGTACTGTTGCTCTACACATTTCCCTAACACCTAGTATAATTTCAGTCCTCTTGTCCTCTAGTGGAATGAAGTTCTGCTACTATAAAGGAATCACAAAATTTATGTTGACAATATTGTTTTTAAAACCTTCCCCTTATATATCACTTGAACACAAAACTTGATTAATGCTTCTGCCCCAGACTTACCAATTTGGCACCTGCTTCCTTGAGCTTGAAAAAACTGACAATCACAGTCACCTGCCTCTGTGCAGCTAGCTCCATTAAGGCACTTTTGAGCACACAAGCCTGTCAGCAAGAAAAGCAGCCTTTTAGTAGATACAGTATTTTTCAGACAGGTTGAGACTCACATTAGATGTTTGTTCTAAAATCATAAGCATCCATATTAGCTAAGAAAAATAACCAACAAGACTTTCTTTTTAACAGTTACTTAATTTTATACTTTGTGTTCCTTGGTTAAAAGACAAAGTTCTCCCTCTTCTAGTCTGAGATTTGTACACTAACAAAGGAGCAAAAGGTCAGTCTCCTCCCAGCAAACAAAAGGTCAAGTTCCCATGTAAAGAAACCAAATCCCAGTCCTCCCGATCTAGAAATACACAGGATGAAGATTATTTTAATTGACCAAGTTCAGCACAACTCATACATATGTTCAGCTCCTCCCTCTTAGGCATTACAGCAAAGGGTATATTCAGCTTATTAACAGTCTAGAATATATTACAGAGACAAAACTGGTTAAAAATAATTCTCAGGAGATGCTAAAAAATTATATGAAGTTATTTCTGCTGAAGAGGTGACTGAAGTCAGAAATTTAAGATTACATGGGAACGGCTTGTTTTGTGTTATAATTAGTAACTGTTTCTAAAAGCAGTTTAATTAAAGGGTTTTATAGCCTGTTTGGAAGTTAAGACCTCACTGTGTACTAACTGTTCACTGAGGTTGGTCTAGCTCAGAGCTCCCCAGAAGTAGAGGAGAAAGAGGTTTTCAAGTTTCAGGTTTGCAGTTAGTTGCTTTCCTTCCCAGGAAGAAATTATAATCCTACATACAAATATTTGCAATGCTGACAGTGTTACTTTAGAAGTACATTTTCAACAGGAAATTTCTGCAACTTAATGAGGATAAAATGAGATAATGAAATAGGTAAGGGTTTTGTAGGGGATAAAGCCCACAGCAAAACAAGAAGCAGGTAGGAGGGCAGAGTGTTCAGTAGCATCTCCTCTCAGGGAGATTGGCACTCACCTCTTGCTGGGCTCCATGTCAAGGTCCCATTTAGGTGCAATTGAGGAGATGTAGCTCGAACCTATCGGAGAAACATAAAAGCAAAATCAGGGTATTTGTACTTCACAGATTCACCAATGCAAGCCCAGGGCCTTACAGAAGGATTGGGTTAGGACTTGGCAGGTTGTTTCAGACATGACACAGCCTCACTTGCTACGGACAGATTGGCTGCCTGGACAACAGGAAAGACAGTGACTGCAGCACTTGTGGGGAGGGGAAGCATGGTTTAGGGGAATAGAGAACTATACAGCAGTATAGTGGGGTCACTGCTGGCCTTCTCTCCATGCCCTCTGCTTCACCAGTGCCAATGAACCAGCAGAGTTCCACCGAGGAGATCTGTGTTTATATTTGGGAGGAAGAGTGAGGACCTGAGAAGCATCCTGCCTTTTTCACTTCCATAAAATACAAAGAGTTGGAAAGTGTGGAGATGCAGTATCCCTTCTTCCCCAGATTCCCCTAACTCATGCCCTGCAACACTCCCTGATCATCTGATGTAGCCACTTCAGTTGTGATAGATTTTATGTCCCATTTAAGACTCTTCAGAACTGCATTTCAGCTCATCCCAACCAAAAAGGAGACAGATCTGCCTGATCTGCATCCTATCTTGTGGAGGAACAGGGGGGCAGAGGGCTGTAAGGAAGCCCTGGGTTCTGACCCAGCACTCTGCTGTTGCAGAGTTTGTCATGTCACATCAATCCTTCTGAGAACTGAACAAGTCCCACATGACAAGCACTCCAGGGTTTTCACCCCCATTAGATTAAAACATTTACTAGCGTGAAGTGCCTGAAAGATATTTTGCACTACATTTCTTCATGGCTATTTTAAATCCTTTTGTTTTACAAAGCTTTGTCCTTCTGCTTAGATGGTTACTCTTGGCCATTTTTTTTTACTTCTCTCTCTGTGTATTATAAAGTTATATTTCTGTACTCCCATGCTACCCATTCAGGTATACACCAGCCTTCAGCTGCACAACTGAGCAAAACAATTCATTTAAGCCTGGTGAGAAACTCTTCTTTCTGCAAATCCTGCTTCAACTCTGGAGCTTGAGCTAACAGATTTCAGTGAATGCAACTGTACGATAAACAGATCAGGTGAAGTCCCACCAATGCAAATACTTCCTCCTCCAACTGGAAACTATTTGATGCACTCATGCAGCACAATCTGTCTGTAACCAATCTGAACTGGACTCCACCAGAAAGCTGTTCCACAGGCTGTCTGTAGCCAAAGAAGTGCCTCATCATCTGTGTACAAAAACATTCCTCTCCATTCCTTCTCCTCAGCAAAGCGGCTTTTTGCTTTTGTTGTTCCGGAGAGGTAAAGCATATTTGCTGTGACAGCACTGTCCTGCTGAGCACCTCTCTGAGACACCATCAGTCCCAAGTGTCTGTTTCCCTCAGAAAGTGTTTGCCTAGTGAGGGGAAGAGGCTTGACTCACCTCAATGTTACGTTTCATACTGGCTGCTTTCTGTCTTCGTCAGGAGACAAATCTCCAAGAGACTGAGAGAAAATAATTTGTGGTTGTGTTGCAGGCTGTCTGCAAGAGCCAGAGCAGAGGCTTTGGGCTCCGCACCTCACCCTGTAGAAGCATGCTGTAACTTCTCCTTGGGCTCTGCAGCACAAGGTGTTTACCCACAGGGGAGCAGGATTCCTCTTTACCATAAAATTCCAGTCAGACATCACCTGTGCAAGGCAGCAGTGTGGGGCGTGGGGTGACTGGTGGCCACTGCCATCACCACCACATGCAGTACCCTCCTCTGCAGCCATCTCTGTGTTTTTCATCAAACACTAACAGCCTTCTGGGGCTTTCTGTTCACCTCCACACAAAGCAGAAGAGCAGTGGTGTTATTTCCCATGGTGTGCATCAGCTGTTCTGTCGGGGTGGGTAATTCAGTGAGCTTTCGCCAGGAGTGAATGAATGCATGAGGCCATGGGCCTCGGCTGGAGGCAGCAGGTAGGGAACAGTGGCTCCTGCTCACCGTCCTCCTGTTACCACGGCCTTGCTCCTTACAAAGGCCCCATTGTCAGAACAGCAAAGCCCCAGAGCAGAACAGGGGGAGGAATTCCCCACTCTTTCGGAGGTATAACCTACCTCTGTTGTTAAGAGATCTCTTTTCTGTCGAGTTGCATTAAACTCGTTTCTGGAAGAAAACAAAAAGGATCTTGTATAACCAAAGGTCCCAGGAGCAGCCTGAATAAGCCGTTCCCCAGAGAGAAGTGTTTCTCTCCGATTACCATCACTTTATCAAAGAGATCTTTCTTGGGTTAACATTTAAAATGGTGATTCTTTTTTTCTTTTCGTAGTCTCATTTTACAGAATTCAACAGCACTCCAATCTCTGCTCTCAGACATCAGGGAGGTACAGGGGAGAGGAAAATAGAACAAGCTTATATGACAGGATACAAAACTGCAAAATTGATCCATAGGTACTTGAACGTGTGTGTGCGGCAGCGAGTTGCCCTAAGTGTGATGTGAACATATTGGTATAATGCTTTTAATAGCAGGAGATTACTCACCAGCTGTAGTTGATTTAAATGTGTGATTTAGTTTAGAAATAAGGGCAGCAGACTGTAAAACATACTTGGTTTTACCAACAGTCCAAGATGGTATGTATGTGTGTGTTCACTAAATACAGAGGTCACTAGACATCCAAAGCTATGTCCAATTGGACACTTCTACTAGAATTGATGGCATAGTTCCCATTTAATTCAATGGGATCAGGAACATTTCCTAGTTTGGGTTTTGTTTGGATTTCAGCTTCTACATGAAAACTTGTATTGAAAATGTTTATTTTATGGCTGTATAGCACTTACTTTTCTGTGCTTCAAATAGCAGCTAGGATTTTATCATGCAATTAAAATCGTAGAAGGATACTCATTTAATGTATTTTTCCAGACATAAAATAATGATCTCATCTTGGTTTCATTCCATTACTCCTCTAAGCTTTCTTGAGACTGTAGAAGTATCATTTTTCATAAGTGCCTTCATTTTTCAAATGGAGGATCCATGCCCATTATATAAATTCTTTGAAAAGAATTGTAAACATTACGAAAGTATGTTTTACATCCATTGCACATGTACATGACAACTTACACGGCAAATTCAAGACTGTATTTTACTTTCTAACTTACACCAAAACAGATAGCCTTACATATTTTTCTTTCATTCATAGGACTTAACAAATAAGGAATAAAAACTTACCTTGAAGTCCTCCTCAAAAGAGAAAGCTTGCAGTAAGTTCCTGTAGATTAAAAAATCATCAAGGTAAACATTTTTCTGTAGTGTCACTCCGCATTTGACAAATATCACTACTGAATTGTGTTCTTCAAAAATAGTTAATGAACCTAAGTTTTCAAAAGTGCCTTTACAAAACCTTCTTCTCTTCACAAGGAATCATGCAACAGATGCTCTCCTTCCTGAAAGCCTGATGCTCACAAGTGCTCGCCACCTGCAAGTTCCCGTGCTCTCAGCTCTGGTACACGCCACCACCAAAAAGAGCAAAGCATTCATATTTCTTCAGAGGCTTAGGCCATATCTAATAAAACATAAGAGGTGATCAGATCTATCCAGAGTCAAACTTCTAGAGCGGTAACCTGTAATCTTTTTCTGATTATTACTTATAAAACTCAGTTGCCATTCTAATAACATTCTCATGTTGTCCTAGAAATCCTTATAATGGCTGTAAAGAAACTATCTAAAAGATCTATTTGCAGTGCATACACGTATAAATTAAAAAGATTGTTTCTATAACCAGAAGAACAATTGCTTTTTCTAACATTCCAAAAATGCTTAAAAACACTGCAGATGCAATCTGATCAAATAAAATTATACCCTGCTGAAATTAATTACTAGCTTACTCATATAACAATAATGGCAATGAAACAAAGAAAGTTAAACTTAATTCTTTAATAACTTCTTTCGTTACAAAATTCAAACATAAAAATGTATCCTGAAAAAACATGCTGTATTTTAGCTCCAACACTTATCAGAAAGAATGGAAATATATATAACATTTTTTTAACCTGTGAAATTGTTTTATTAACTCCAACAAGGGTCAAAAATGTTGGTTTATGATAGAAAAATAAGCAGACACTAATAAAATATTCACAAAATTAATTGTAGAAGTTAGTATTACTGCAAAAATGAAATAAAGTTCTTACCTTGCAAAGAGGACAGCAGTGAATGAAGCAAGAATATACTCCACAGTATCATTAAATTGAGCTTTCCCACAATGTTCATTTCAGTATAACTTAGTAAAAGAAAATTCATCCAAATTAATGGCTTTGGCTATGATGGCATCTTCTAACTGTGTCTTCCTACAGTGTGTTTAGATCCTTTAAAATTTAGATAATTGGATGCATGATTTAAAATAATACAATACAGAAAGGAAAAGAAAAGGAGACATCAAGCTTGGTAGATACATACAGCTTCAGGAGCTTAGCAAGCGTTGCATATAACTTTCTGGCTGCATGTCTCATTAGAAATGCATGGTAACTGCTGAGCAGAGTCTGTATTAGTTACACTTTCGCCAGACCTGTGAGCATTACTCCTCTGTTGAATTCAATTGGCCCTTTATAAGACAGCAGACAATAACAAGAAATTTTGCCATGTTGTGACGCTTTGAGAGATCCTTCGGTCGTCATCACGCCTTTGTGTGCTTTGACACTTGCGTCGTTTGCTGCCCGTTTTGTTACATCAAACAGCTTCAGCAAGAACCTGCAATTGTGTTAGTGCGTAAAATACAACCAGATGGTTTTGGAAATTAACATATTAATATTCTGCATCTGTTCCAAAATGAGAGACCCAAATACCATTAAATAATACACCTGGATTTTTAAGAATATTTTGAATACATTTTTGTGTATAGTTTGCTGTTGCCATCAAGGAAAGCTACTCAGAAGGTAAAAATAGTAGTTCAATTTAAAAAATAAACAAACAAACTAACACAGAGATTTTGAATATTTCATATTATTAAAAAAAAAAAAAAAAAAAAAAAAAAAGAACGGACCAATGTTTCTAATTTCCATTTAAAAAGAATAATATAATTTCACCAAACTAAACAAGAACATTTAAAAAATGGAAAAATCTTACCCACTTTTCTCTAAACATTAATAGAATTATTAAGAAGTGAAGTTTTCCATCAGTTGAAATGCCTATTCCTCACTTCCATTTTTAAAGCCTACCTTTTGCCTAACCCTCCATTCCTCCCAGCATGCACTTCATAAGATGCTGGAAGCATTCCGCACAAGGTGGCTGTGGACTGAAATAAAATTTAGAAGTTGACAGTCTCTTTGGTAAAAATTTCTCCCACTGATTCTTTCAGCCCTTTCTCTTCCCCTCTCTCCAGCTGGATGAGAAGAGGCAAAGGAAAACACACAAACTTTCCAAACACAAACATTCATGTCCACACAGCAGTACTCACGCAGGTTTGGGATTACTGGTGGCCCAAGGATAATTACTGCAAACTGATATACATTACAGCAGTACACCACAGTTCAAGTATTTTCTAAGAATTATTTTTGTTACTGACTATATTTAAGTGACTCTGGATCCAGCTTTCTATTTATATATATATATATCCACAAGATATTTATCAGACACTGAGATCAGTTATCTGCCCATCTTGTGTTTCATTATTCTGTGAATCATAAAGGAAACTTATTTACACCATTCACTTTTCAAGGAGATTTTTGGTTTGTTTTTACTTCTGACTATCTCTGGGCTAGTCCCATTTCACAGAATGCTTATCTGCAGCAAGAATGCATCTTCCAGTTCAGCCTCATCTGCTTCACAGCGTCGAAAATCACTCGTCTGCAAGCTGAGGAAAAAGAAATGAGCTCCTGATCCAAATTATGCACTAATGTAGTCATGCTTACAGACTCTAAATACTTCATGTGGACACCTACCTTGTAGGAGGTTACAGGGGATAATCAGTGTCTCATGCTTTCATAAATCTCCTATTAGAGGACAGAGCCTTGAGATTACTGTAGAGCTTCCAAATTACAGAATCACCAAATTACACAGGATCATAGAGACTGGAAAGAACCTCTGGAGATAAAATCAAGTCCAGCCCCTCAGAGCAGGTTACTAGGAAAGTATCCAGGGTTTTGAATATCTCCAGAGAAGGAGACTCCACAACATCCCCAGGCACCTTGTTCCAGTGCTCTGTCACCCTCAAAGTAAAAGATGTTTTCCTCATGTTCATATAGAACTTCCTGTGTTCCTGTTTGTGCCCATTGACCCTTATTCCATCACTGGGTGCTGTTGACAAGAGCCTGGACTCACCCAGTTAACTTCCATCCATTAGGTATATATAATCATTGATAAGATCCCCCCTGCAGGCTGGCAACTCTCAGGTCTCTCAACCTTTTCTCATAAGGGAGATGCTCCTGGCCTCTAATCATTTTTCTGGCCCTCCACTGGACTCTCTCCTGTAGTTTCCTGTCTTTTTTGAACTGAAGAGGCCAGAACTGGACACAGCGCTTCTGATGTGGCCTCACCAGAGCAGAGTAGAGAGGAAGATCACTTCTCTCCACCTGCTGAACAAGTTCTTTTTAATGCACTCCAGGATACCACAAGCCTCCTTGGCCACAGGGGCACAATGCTGTATGTCTACCAGGACATACAGCTCCCTCTCTGCATAGCAATTTTCCAGCAGGTTGGCCCCAATACTGATGCTTGCAGTTATTCCTCCCTGGGTGTAAGACTCTGCACTTGCCCTTGTTGAACCTCATAAGATTCCTCTCTGTACAACTTTCCAGGTCTCACGGCAACACAACTACGTGGTGTGTCAGCCACTCTTCCCAGCTTTGAATCATTAGCAAACTCACTGGGGGTGCACTCCATCCCTTCATTCAGGTCATTTATGAAGATGATAAACAAGACCAAACCCCAGGGGAACTCCACTAGTTACAGACCTCCAACTACACTCTGTGCCATTGATGAGAATCTTCTGAACTCTGCCAGTCAGCTAGTTCTCAATCCACCTCACTACACACTCATCTATTCCACACTTCCTAAGTTTACTTGCAAGAATGTTATGGGAGACAGTATCAAAAGCCTTGCTGATGTTAAGGTACAGAACATTCACCGCTCTCCTCTCATCTACCCAGCTGATCATGACATTACAAGCAGCTACCAGATTGGTGATTTCCCCTTGATGAATCCATGCTGACTATTCTCAATAACCTTCTTTTCTTCCACTTACTTAGAGATAACATCACTTTCCCTGGGATGGAGGTATGAGACCATTACCAGCCTCAGAGCTGTTTTCCTTTGAAGCTAAGTGTGGCGTAGAATCATTTCAAACACTTCTAAGAAACCTGACCTGGAATTTTTTCATTCCTCAAGTTGATTAATATAATTTAACTCTTTTTAACAGGAGCTGTTAAAATGACTTTTTAATGTATACACAACTTTTACAAAATGAAATTGAAGCACATTAGTATTGCCTAGTTGCTTAACTTTCTAACATTAAAAGCAGGCCAAGCCTACTTTACAAGCTGTAAAGAGACTTTTTCATTAGGTCTGGATATCTCTGCTCAAGTCAGAGTAGGAAATAGCACGGTCCCAAGCAGATGAAGGACATTAGCTAATAAGGGAAAGGAATTATTCAGCCGAGTACACTGAACTGTAACTCAGAGGACTATATTAAGAAATTGAATATATATATGTATGCCCCAGCAATGACTACATTACCTACACAAGTAATAGAATACTCACAGATCTGAGACTTCTAGAAAACGTAAACAGGAACAATGAATTAGAAAATAACTACTTTGGTAAGAAAACGAACACAGTATAGAAAACATGCTGGCCTATGTTTAAAAGAATGCTAGTGCTACATTTTCAAGTTATATTTTTTTCTCTTTAAAAGTGAAAATAAAAAAAATTTAATACAAATTTATTTGTATATTGTAGCAGAAATGCAAAGCTACAGCTTGAACCGGTGACTGAGCACCTGGTGGGAAGGCAGGACCAACCCAGAGGAGCTCAGCTGCATGCGATGTCCCTGAATGACTGGGAGGAGTGGAGCCAGGATCCACCACTTCCCAGACCTCATTTAAGGGTTGGCAGTGGAGGCAAGGATATCTAACCTGAGCCTTCAAGGAATAAGCATATGTTTTCCTTTATTTTCGCACCCACGGCTGTTGCATTTGAGCAAATCCTCACTTGCTGCAGCTTAGGATCTTCATACTCTGTTGTCATTGCTGCACTTTCCATCACATTACAGTACTCAATATAAATTTGCCCAAGATTTTCCAACCTAACATTTGAGAGGATTTAATTTTATATACAGGTTGTACATTTTATCAGGATTATAAGCAATAGATGAAATAGCAACAGCCTTCAGTGACTTGGATTCAAGTATGCCCTGTTTTGGATTTAGATCCATTATTATCATTAATAAAACATGACACTTCTTGGAGCTCATATTCCAGCCTTCATTGGACTGGTATTTTCAGTGAAGAGCTTGAGTGGTACTACACTCTCATGCATGTGCCAAAACATCCTTAGGGTTAACATCAGTGAAAATAATGAAAGAGCAAGAATGATAAAAGGCTAGACGCATTTCTGCTCCGAATATTACCTCAACAGCTGATCAAAAATCTCCCTAGGGGCTTGAAGATCAGATTGTATTTCTCTGTAGAAGGGCATCCATGGCTAGAGCAGATGCTCAATCACCAAGTCTCGATTTCCATGCCCAAAGAATCAGGACGCTAGGAAAGGATTTTTATGAAAATATTTTCTCCTTAAGTCTTCCAAAAGCTTAAAACTTCACTTTAATTGCACTTCCTCAGTGAAGTTAAGCCCTCTAGTGGTCAATTGGCCAACAACTATTTAGAATAAAGACCTTCAGCCGTTCACACAAGCAGACACCAGTCCAATTCCACAAACATTTCTCATCTGGAAAGCAAGCTTGTGGGAATGACATCACTCTCCAGGATTAATACGGCATTTTCATAGGTTCAGAGTTCAGTTCAGAAAGCATTTTTATTATGCTGAGTTTTTCTTCGGAGAAATAACATGCAGATACTATCTCTGGTTATATTAGCAGCAACGCAAGTTTTATTTTCAGCTTTTTCATAATGGAAGAAGTCCCTGGTTGTTATGAGTTATTTTGTGGGCAACAAAACTGGTAACTCAGGTTTCCCCATAACTGTGAAGATCACCCCTAAGGTTACTTGTGCTGGGTATGTCACTTCCCCTGCTCCTGTGACTTTCACATCATAGGAACT